GGGGAATCCCTGCCCAGAGGTATGGTGGCAGGTGTGGGCTCAGGAAGCAGCTGCTGGCTCCCCCATCCTGTGCTGTGCCAGCTGCCCGCCGGGGGCCTGCCCACCAGATGCATAATAGATGAGGAGGCCCAGCGGGCTGTGCCTGCCTGGCATTTCAGAGCCACTAATGAGGCCAGCCTCATGCTTCCTGCAGCAGCACACGGGCCCCCAGGGCTTCCAGCTCAGTGGTTACAGAGAGGAGCCACCTGAGGACAGGGGCCACCCACCCCAGCCCCACACGCAGCACACACAGCATCCAGGAGGGCAAGGGCTAAGGTTATGGGCTCAGGCTGACCACACCGCCAGTCTTGGATCACCACTCACTGTGCCCCTGGGTCAGCCACGTCCCCTCCCTGAGCCTCAGGTTGCTCATCTGTAAAATGGGGAATGGATGTAATAGTCTCTAATAGTCTCTACTTTGTAAAGCTGGCATAAGGATGGGATGAATAATTCAGATGAAGAGCTCGGCCCAGGGTCCGAGACCCAGGAAAAGCTTCATGTATGGGAGTAACTGGTACCCTTACTGTCAACGGGAGATATCTGGGTACCAGATGGGCTTTCCTGGTGGGACACACGGGGCTGGGCAGTGACCCCTGTTTTCGGTGTGCTCATTCATCTCATCCCCCTCTCTTCCCTCACCCCATAGTCAGAACTTTCCTCATTGCTATGGCTTCCTTGTCTGGCCAACGGCCCTTCCTTGACAGGAGAAAAGGCTGGATTCAAATCCAGCCCTCACCAGTTCTGCTCTGTCTTGGATCTTGTCTCCAAAATGGAGACACTAAGGCCAACCTACAAGACTATCATCACAACCGAGACCACCGTACGAAAGTGCCCGACACGACGCCTGGCACTTAATCTTTGCTGGGTCCTGCCTCCCCTCCCAGGCTCCCAGCCTCAAAGTCCTCTTCCAGAACCCCTCCCCTGCACAACTCTACCTAGCCATTCCCCCACGCTGGCACCGCTCCACCCCCTTTCCTTGACCCAGCATCTGAATCCCCCCTAAATGTCCAATACTTGTGAGGTCTTCAGAACCAGAGTCACCACCTGTCCCACTAGCTCCTAATCCTGCCACTGGGCCTCATCCTTATTTGTTCTGAGCCTCTGCAATGCAGATGACCTGCTGCTCAGGGGTGGAGGGGTAGGGGAATCCAGCCATGATCACATCTGGCCTACACCAGGCCTTGCTGCTCCCCAAGCTAAGCCCCAACTTCTTAATCCTTTTTTAAAAAGGGGTGTAGGAAACCAAATCTCGGGCAGCCCGGGTGGCTCAGGGGTGTAGCGCCGCCTTCAGCCCAGGGTGTGATCCTGGAGACCTGGAATCAAGTCCCACGTCAGGCTCCCTGCATGGAGCCTGCCCCCCCCCCCCGCTCTGTGTGTTTCTCATGAATGAATAAATAAATCAAATCTTAAAAAAAAAAAAAGGAAACCAAATCTCCTCCAGGAAGCTCTCCCAGCCTACCTGACAATATTTCAACTGTTCTACCCTCTGGACCCATTTAGTTCAATTCACAGGCATTTATTAAGCATTTACTGGGCAGCTGTGTAAGACAGTGTGGAGGACAGAGAGACATGAGAAGAATGGAGCCCAACTTTTTGGTGACTCGTGCTAGAAAATGGGCCTAAGTCAAAAGTAACTCAAGGAACCCCTACTTTCAAAGACCTCAGAGCCTGCCTTATACCACGGTACATGGATACACTCGACTCAGAAATCCAACTCAACACTTACTGAGCACCAAGTGGGGCTCCGAGATGGGAAGTGACCTGCCCAAAGTCACACCACTATCATGTGGCAGAGGCAGATCCACGACTCCAGAAACGAGCACGAATGTGTGCTCTACAGGCATGATAAGCAGAGGGAGGTATTTTAAGGAGAGAAAGACAGAGCACGGGAATCGGGAAAGAAAACACTCAACGGACAGCAATAAAGGTAGGCTGGAGGCGTGGTGAGGGTTGTGGAAATGGGAGAGGAGGCCATGGCAAGGGGATGGGGAAATGTGAGCAAAGGTATGGAGATGGTGCTCTCAGGGGCCATAGTCCCTTTGATCAGAAATGCAGCTCGCAAGAGAAATGAGTTCCAGACTGGAAAGGACAGGTGGGTATAGGCCTGGAATCACAGACCAGGAAACCATAATTAATAATCAAAATGACTCCCATTAACAGAGCAGTAACTATGTGCCAGGTACAGGCTGGGAGCTAAGCAACTGGTTTAGAAGGGAGGGCCACTGGGGTTAGCACCTTGGACAGCATCTCCGGGGAGGAGGGCCTGGGGCAAGGCACTGTGGGTAATGGACAAATCCTGGTGATTCCAAAATCCTACTCCAGAAGTTTGTCAACTGAGGCCCAGAGAGGGGAACGGACTGGCCTAAAGTCACACAGCTGGTCAGTTACCGTAAGTCCCCCGGGCCTTCATCACTGAAGCTTCATTCAGGGCTCCCTAGAGTAGGCTTTCTGGGTCACCCCTCCATCTTCAAGTCTTCCTTCAAGTGCTCAGACCCACCGTGTGGTCTGGAGGCCCTGGGACAAAGTGCATAAGACTCTGGGCTCTGCAGAGTCTGGAAGGTTTAGATTCAAATCCCAACTCTGCTCCCAAATAGCTGTATGACCTTGAGCAGGTCACTCACCCCAACTCTGCGCATCACTGTTCTCATCTATAATTAGAGATAACAGTCAGGGATGTGGTAAGGATGACGTGAGATGATACAGTTCAGGCACCTAACAGTACCTGGTATGCAGCAGGTGCTTGACAAGTGGCAGGTCCTAGGAGATTATTAATAAAGTCCTTGAAGAAAAGGATGGCATCTTCCTCGACTTACCCACCTGTATCTCCCCTAGTCCACCCTGCTCTGGGCTTAGTCCATGGTCTTGCACTGGTGGAGGCTCAAATTGGGCACAGCAGCAGGAGATAAAGCCCAGAGAGGGGGAGAACCTGGCCCTAAGCTGCACAGAGAGCATCAAAGGAAGATAAAAGGGCAGGCCCTGAAGCTCAGCCTGGGCACCCATGTGCTTTGCACACCAGGTGTAGCCTCCTAGAGGGGGCAGCGCTGCAGCTGGTGAGGCGATGGTGCCAGACTGGGGTCGTCTAGTAGCTGGGGGGCATACTGTGGGGCCCGGGGACCCCGGGAAGCCCCCAGCAGGGGTGGGAAGCATGAGCTCTCCCGCTGGAGTTGAAGTGGCAGCAGGAGCAGCCAGCTGGGCCCGTGTGACGCTGGTGCTGGAGAAGCTGGGAGGCGCCCGCCTGCAGGGCATCGGGGGTGCTGTGAACCCGGAGGTGAGACTGCACCTCCACTCACTGCTCTCGGTGTTGAGAAAGCTGTAGACACAGCTGCCCCCTCTTCCTCCAAAGAGAGGGAGGCCTCAGACTTCAGCAATGGGCAGCAGGAAGGGGTCCTGAAGGCTACATATGGGGTGGAACTTGGGGACTTGGGGGTCAGCCAAAAGGCGAAGGGCACCTGCAGCCCCCCAGGGGCCATGATGTGGGAAGGGAGAGAGGAAGGAAGCACCTTCGGTGAGGGCCTACAGTATAACAGGCCCTAGGTTTGCTTTTTAGGTGTTTCATTTTTTTTTTGCAATTTTATACTCTGTCAAGTAGGTTTTTTCATCCCCATTTCACAGATGAGAACACCGAGGGTCAGAGAAATTAGTGAATCACTAAGGTCACGCAGGCACTGGGCCGAGCTAAGATTTAACCTGACTTGCCTGACTCCAAGCTGGAGCTCTAGAGAGAACTGGGGAAGACAGATGGGGAAGAACCGGTAAGAGGGTCTGCCCACCCCATCACCTGGGGACGGCGGCCAAAAGACTGGTGGGGTCTGGTCTGTGATAGGGGGTGGTAATGGTTTGGGAGTGTCCGCAGCCAAGCAGCCCAGCCCCTCCTGAGAGCTCTCAGTACTCACCACAAGCTCCGGCGAGGGGTGAAAGACTTGTCCACTCTGAAACAGAGCAAGAGGGGCAGCAAATGAGGGGGCAGCCCTTTCTCAGCCAGCCTGGCACATCAGGGCAACCCCAACGACCCACCACCCATCCTGAGCGGGCTGCAGGAGGTATTGCCTCTTGGGGGCCTGATGCATTGTCCCCATCCCCCAGAGGCTGCAGGGGGCCCCTGATATCAGGTTAGGGACGTGGGAACGTGTAGAGTGAGACAGTAAGGAAAAAAGGTAGGAGCGGGGGCACAGGGATAGGGGAGCAGGGACCCAGGACTAGATTACAGGGTGCAGCAGAAGGGGGGTCACTGTGGGAGGTTTCGGAACAGGCGAAGTGGGACACTGACTACAGCAGCTTGGGGTCAGTGCAGGGACCTATGGGTGCAGCAGAGGCCAGCTTAGAGTGTTTTCAGCCAGGATTAAAGGATGTGGGTGTTTACAGTTTATGGTAGGCAGGAAGAAATCAACCCTCCCCCCCCCCCCCTCTCCCTCCCCCCCCCCCCCCCCCCGCCCGCCTTTCCTGGCAGCCTGCCTCCATCCCAGAGCCGCAGCTCACTCATATCCACCCAGGGGATCTGGGATCTGGGAGTAGATCGTGAGGACCCTCCTCTCCCACCCCACCCCCAGCACACACACACCCTGGCCCTCAAAGCAGAGCCAGAGGAAGAAAGCAAGCCCTGGAGTTCAGGGGCCACCCCCAGGCTTCGTTTTCCCCAAATCCCTACAAGTCCAGCGTCAGAGAGAGGGGGTGGACATAGTCCTCCGAGGGCACCTTGGGTTTGGGGTGGGGGCTGGAGAGAACTCCACTGTCCTGCCCAGCTGAGGGCCAAGAGGCTGGGCAGCTGTTGGGACAACAAACAAGTCTTGCCTCCTGCCCAGAGGCCAGAGGAGAGTGGGGAAGGGGCCCTGAACCAGACTCTGCCAGCTGGGGAGGCGGAGCTGGGGTGTCCTAAGGACTGCTGTGGACTCTGCAGACAAGGAAAGGGAGGCCAGAGAGGCCGGGGCTTGCCCTGCTCCTACAAGAAGCCAGCCCCACTCGCCCACCCCTGGGCCGCCTCTCCGTGTCAGTGACCTGCGGTCTCAGGGCGTACCCAGCCTCCTCCCATCACCCGGTGGCCGGCAGGGCCCCAGACAGGGGGGGAAGCCTGTCTCCCACCCCACATGGCCCCTCTGCCAGGGTGCCTTTGGAGGGAGGGCAGTCAGCAATGGGTGGCACCTTGACACCACCCCCGCGCCTCAGAGAGCACGTGTTGTGCAGCAGCAGCAGCAGCACGACTGTGTGTGTGAGCTTCCATCGCTCTGCACCCCAAAGGTGAGTCCTGAGCACCAGGAGGCAGGGCCTAGTGCAAGGTGATCCAACTACCTGGCTGGCCAGGGAAGGGGCTCCCGCGCCAGTCTCTCTACCCCCTACCCAGCCTTCCTTCCGACTGACCCGCTGACCGAACGTCGGCCCAAGGCAAGAATCCCCCCGCCCTCCTCCGCCCTCCTCTGCGGTGGACACTTGGGGTCGGGAGCGACAGTGGCCCCAAGATGGACCAGCCACCACTCTGCCCTCCAGGCCCTGGGTCTCCAAGCCCAGGCAGCAAGCAGCCCCGGGGGAGGGCGGTTCTGAGAGTTGGGCGCCCTGGAATTGGCGGCGAAGTACGTGGCCTGGCCCGCGGCGGGCTTCCAGGTTCCCTTCCTCCAGCGCCTCACTGGAGGGGCCCCGCAGCCGCAGAGGCCGAGCGGGGGCTCCTGCCCGGGCTCCCCCGCCCCAGGAGCGCGCGCACCGGGCACGTGCAGAAGCGCCGCGCCCCGCGCCCCGCCGTGCCCCCGCCCGGCGCCCCCGCCCGCCCCCGCGTGCCCCCGCCCGGCGCCCCCGCCCGCCCCCGCGTGCCCCGCCCGGCGCCCCCCCCCCCCCCCCGCCCCTACCCGCCGTAGGCTCCGAAGGTGAAGCTGCGCTTCCGGCCGCTCATGGTGCCGCCGCCGCCGCCGCCCGCCTGCCCCGCGCCCGGGTCACCTTGGCAACTCGGGCCGCCCCGCCCCGGCCACCAGCCCCGGGACCGTCCGCGCCCCCGCGGGCCCGGGGCCAGCTGCCGGGGCGCCGCGCGCAGAAAGGGCCGCTTGTTCGCGCCGCCCGCGGCCGGGGGCGGGGGCTCGCGGGACTTTCCGAGCGGGGTCCCGGGGGCGGGGGACGCGGGGCGCACGGGGCCTCCGTGGGTGGGGGGGGGCCCGGGCTGCAGACCCTCTTGGGGGGCGACACCCTGTTCCTCCCCCCCCCCCCCGCCAGCCCCCATGGCGAGGCGGGGCACGCAGCGGGCCGGGGCAAGAACTTGGGAACCAGGGTCAAAGTGGGCTGCTCTGTGGGCGAGTCCCTGCCCCCGCCTGTCCCTCAAAATTCTCATTTGTAAAATGGAACAACCCCCCCCCCACCCACACACACACACTCACACACACGCACACGCACACGCAGGCCCCCGGGGTGATGGCGTTGATTCATGCCGAGCGCTCAGCCCAGGCCGGGCACACAATAAACGCTCAATAAACCGCTGCTGCAAGAGTCTCTCCCCGTAAGTCAGAAGCTCCTCTCTTCTGGCAAATGGATGAGGGAAGAATCCCCAGAACGCCCTGCTGTTGCCCACTCTCATCCCCCTCTCCGGGTGCCCCCCACAGCCAGGTGAGGGAGCGGAGGAGCAGGGGGGCAGGAATGGAGGTGGCCCACCAGGTGCCCTGGCTCAGCAGCCTCCCCGGGGGAGGGGGAGGAACCGGGCTCTGAGTCCTAGAGCAGGGCACTCACTCGCTCGCTCACCGACACTCTGCCCCCCTCCTCCGCTTGCCCTCACCCAGAGCTGACCCTCCAGTGTTCCACCCTACAGGAAGCTGTCTCTCCCGCCCCCAACTGAAGATGTGTCAGGAGACAAAGGACCTTGGTCCTGCCTCTAGGTCAGCCTCCGCCCGTCCAAAATGCCCACTCTGGCCCCCAAAGAGGAAGGGATTACCCCAGGGAGGCGCTCAGAGCGGTGAGGTTTCCTATGGCATTTTCTAAGGGAATGCACAGAGAACGGATGCAGGGGTGCAGTACACTGGGGGCGGGGGAGGACGACCGAGGGTACACCAGTAGGCCAGGGCGACAGGGCGGCAGGGATTCTTCAGAAGCCTTTCAGGAACTGTTCCACCTGGGCCCTGGGCCAGGGCTCGGCTAGCTCCAGCTTCCCCTGGGAAGTGAGTGTCTGGGTACCGACCTTCACAGTTCGCCTCACACAGGCCGAGGGAGGTGATGCCCGGGTCTCCCCATTTCAGACATAAACCTAGACCTTGGCTCACAGCAATTACATCTCTCTTAGGGGGCCAGACCCCAGCTCCCCTCCCTGCCTCTGCCCTGGACCCCTTCTCTCCACACACTTTGATGGGTGGAGCCCCTTGTTCCAAGGCCGCCGAGCAGGGCAAGGGAGATCCCCTCCCTCAGGCCCAGAACCAACCCCTTGGTTTGGTTTTTAGAGCAGCGTCTGGCTCCCTCTTGGCAAGGAGCTAGCCCGGGCTGGGTCCCTTCTGCGTGGGCAGGGCCAGAGATTCCTGGGTGCAGGGACCAGCCACGCCAGTGTAGGAAGCCCCCTCTTCACAGGGCACTCCAGGAGGGCCCCCGAGGGGCAAGCCCTAGATGCACACAGGCTGGCCTGAGTAGGGGAAAGTCTTCCTTTCCGCAGTGATAGGAGCACATGGGTGCCCAGAAAGCTGGGAGAGATGGGGGACCAGGAGCTGGGTGGGGGGGGGAGGCTTATGCAGTGCCAGGACTGGGACCCAAGGCTACGGCACCCCCTTGGTCATGACACTCAGCCTCCTCAGTCTGTCTTTTCAGTGGGAATGATTCCTGAGTGGGCTCTCCATGTCCACTTGGCAGGGTGGCCAAGTAGTCTCCAATGTGCCAAGTTTCCCAGCCGGGCTTGGCCCCCAGGAGGCCCTGCTCGTGCTGGGACAGTGGGCCCTTGAGAGGGGCTGTGGGGGCTGCAGGATTCCCACCGAGGACAAAGAGCCCAGTGTGGGCTCCGGCCTCTCGGGTTCTGACCAGCTGCAGCTGCCTCACTGGTGAGAGCTGGGGGTGGGGTGGGGGTGGGGGTCACAGTCCCTCTGCCGGGGATGTGCAGGACACTCCCTGGCCAGCTTCTGGTCCCTCAGGCAACTGCAGAATTTAAATGTGCTGTCTTAACCTGCAGGACCACTTCCAAGAATTTGCCCTCTGCCACTTCACGGCAAGGAAGCCTGAAGATGGATGGATGGCCAGGGACAAAGGGACAGGGAGGCAGGTGCTTGTTTCTCCATCCTTCAACCCTCCCAGGGTTCAAGTCCCAGCTCACCCACTTGTCGGCCGTGTGACCTTGGACAAGTCATTTAACCTTTCTGTGCCTCACTTTCTTCATCTGCAAAATGGGCTGATGACAAAAACAGTACCCAGCTCAAAGGGTTTTGCCAAAAATGAACTAAGTTAATAGTTATATAAGTACTGGGAATAGTCTTTGAAGGGCTAGTGTCTGTTGAGTAAAACACTTGCTGCAGCGTCACTGTTCACTAGTCTGAAGAACCTGAAGTCACTATTTTTGTAAAGGTGGTGAAGATTTATTAGTAGGAATTCCAAAACAAACTGATGGCCATCCAGAGGGAACCGGATAAGTAAATTAAGGTCTATGTATACCATGCAGTACCATGCAGCTGTTGGGAAGAATGGGGCAGATCTGTGTGTGGGCACGTGGGATGACCTCCAAGACACACACACACGCACACACACACACACACACACAGAAGCAGTGCAGTAAGGGTGTTGGTGCTGGACCAGGCTCTGACACTTCCTAGCTGTGTGACCCCAAACACATTATGTAACACCCCCCCAGACATCTGGTCTCCACTGAGAACTCAATACTCTGAGGGCAGCACAGAGCCAGTGCTCCCTGACTGAGACCGGAAGGACCTTCCACCTCTGGGGAGGGACAGAGCTCCCTTCTTCCTTTCCCTCCAGCCTCTCGCCTAGAAACCAGAGCCAGGCTCCCCCCTCCCCCCCAAGATTCAGGCCTTCCCTCCAGGAGGAAGCTTCCACTTCTGGGCCTCCTAGATTTGCACCCAAGTTGTTCAAACAGGTGCCAGACTGTGCGAAGGAGGAGGGAAGGGTGCAGGGGTGGAGGGTTGCAGAGCTCCCTTTCCAAGTCCACCCAGGGTTGACCTCTGGGAGTTCCACCTACCTGCTTCCACCTCCCACTTCTCAACCATCAGCAGAGAAATGTAAGGGAATAGGAAGAGGCAGCCTCCTGGGAAGATCTCTAGCCCAGGCTCCAGATGGAGCTGGCGGGGTCCATTCTTGTTTCCCATTCAGGCTATCTGCCTGGAACCTCCTGGGCAGGAGACAGCGTGGTCCTGGGCTTTCTGCCCAGCCAGGCAGCCTCCTGTGTGGCTCTGCATTAATCAGGTTTCCTCCCTCGGCCTCAGTTTGCTCATCTGTTAAAACACCCACTCTCACTTTGATGGGTTAAAGACATAATAATGGAAAAATGCACTTGCCTTGAGAGAATTCCATGGACTCAAGGCATCATTATCCTTAGCTCGAGGCTTTTCTAGCCAAGCCACCCCCACCCAATTCCAAGATGCTCTAAGCCCTGAACTCCCAGAGGAGTCTCCTGGGGGGTCCCCTGGTCCTGGGAAGAGAGAGAAGAGTGTGTGTGGCTTGGCTCACACCCTTTCTCCAAGCAGCTTCCCAGGGAGGTTTCTGATGCAGGCATCCTCTATCCTGGCTTTGTGACCCCGGTCTCATTCAATAGGTTCCTGAGACCCCTGCCTACTCAAAGTGTCCCCATCTGAGACTAGAAAAATCTGGCCTGGCCATAATGACCAAAATAAATGCCTTCACCCAGACCCCCACCATTGAAGATGTGTCTCTGTTCACCCTATGGACCATGTGCCTCGAGGGTCCTGAGAACAAAGTCCTTCTGGAAACACAGGCACACATGAAGGTACCCTTTCCTTTCCTTCCTTCCTTCCTTCCTTCCTTCCTTCCTTCCTTGCTTCCTTCCATTATTCAGCAAATACACATTGAGCACCTACTGTGTGAGTGACCCTGTTCAGGCACTAGTGATAGTGGATGAACAAGACAGATAAGATCTGTGGTAAACCTGCATGCACCCCTGCACAGAAATTCCATGAGGTCACATATGCACTTGCCCTTGTACTATGCAAGTTAGAGACATCTAACTCACACCTACATAGATCATATCAAGATCAAATGCACGCACATGTGCTAACATAAACATCAGTCTCTATATTGCCAAGACCCCCCAAACACACACAGATCAGTGTGCACTCACTTACTGACTATGGCTGCATTTGTATACACATGTGTGTGTTTGTGAACACACACCAATGACAACAGATTCATGCATAGACGTCACAGGCCCACATACCCTTAGATCACATTCTGCTCATGTGACATAGACACCACATGCACACACACACACATAGTGTGCCCAGCTAACTACTGGGAAGAAATAGAGGTTGGAGAGAGGATGGCTTTTGGGGGGGAGGGGCATGGGTCCAGAGGCGTGCAACTGCTGCATCCTCAAGGAGAGGGGAGGCTAAGGCCCCTCTCACACATTATAGGCTGGAATCCAGCCAGCCTCCTTCTCCTACCCCCCTGCTAAGGGCATTTTCAGGAGCAGGGAGGCTGAACTGGAAGGGAGACTGCTTGATGCCCAGAGCTCCACCCAGGGCAGCTGGGCTGACTGAACCCTGTGCCAGGAGGAGACTTGGGTTGAGGCCCCCCCGCCCAGCTCTGCCTAGCAAAACTCCTTCCCACTTGGGACTTCCGCTGGTCCCAAGATGGGGGATAGGATGCCCTGACGATTCCCTAAAGTGCCAACCCTCCCCACTGAGCCAGCCTGGGGCTCTGTGAACCCCCCTTCACCTGGCCAAGGTCCCCACGATGACAGTGATTCTCAACAACGGTGGCTCTACCCCCTAAAGAGCATTAGAGAAATACACAAGGGTGGCTTTGGTCTTTAGCAATTCATTCAGTGGGTAGCAGCCAGGAGAGCTTCGTCAGGAGACTCTCATCTAAAGAAAGCCTGTCATGCATCAAATATCCTTCCAGACATTCATGTGGGTGAAAACCCTGTTTATCTCAGCCTAGAACCTAAGTCCAGTTTACATATGTGTGGGTTTTTTTTTTTTTTAAGTAAGCTCTATGCCCAGGGTGGAGCCCAATGTAGGGCTTGAACTCATGCCCTGAGATCAAGCGAGACCTGAGCTGAGATCAAGTCAGGCTAACTGACTGGACCACCCAGGTGCTCCTACATTTGAGTATTTTTAGTGTGGGTTTAATACATACTGGTCTTCCAAAGATGCAACTACAGAAGCCATTCCGAAATCAAGTATAGCGATATTTTCTGCCCTTAAATGTAAATACGTATGCATATATTTACACACATGTCTATACCTACACACACACACACATATATGTATATATATATACTTATCTATCTATATCTACGTCTATACATAAACAGGTGCAAGCATTTGGTTACTTCATTAGGTCCTGTGGTGTGATCATGCCAGAGGACTTATCTACGGAAGTGAGGGCTTTTACTTCTCTTAGGGTAGTATATTGTTTGGCTTTTGAATTAGGCGTGCAGGTAGGCTTATTATCTAGGAATACCGTTGCAGGAAAATAAAGATCGCGCTTTTAAATCCTTTTCTAACCAAGCTGGGGTCCTCCGCGGTCCCGGGCGCCCCCAGCTGGCCATCGCAGGAACTGCAGGGCGGGGGCCCGGCGGCCTCCAGCACCAGGGACAGCGCCCCGGGCCCGCACCCCGGGCGCCTCTCGGGGCGCGAGGGGAGACCCTGCAGGCGCCCCGAGCAACGTCTGCGTCCTCGGCTCCGCAGTCGCCACCCCCCGCGCTCCTCGCCCCTCCCCTAGTGCGGAGGTGGCCCCCAGAGACTGTCCTCTCCCTTCTCCCTAGCGCGAACCGCCGCGCCTCTCCCGGCCCCCAATGGCACACCTGCCCGCCACAATAGGGCACCTGTGCCGCCGCCCACCGTGTTCCCGCCGCCCCCTCTCCCCCCCCCCCACCCCGGGACCCGATCTCTCCGTGTTCAGATCACAGGGCCGCACCTACGCGCCCTGGGACCTCCGGGATCCCCACAAAAGCCCCAGATCATGCAAGACTTTTATGTCAGCGACGACTGATGGGGAAACTGAGGCTCGCAAACAGAGCGGAGCCGGCTTCTGACGTCCCCCCGCCAAGGCCTCAGCCCCCATCACACATGCATGCACCCCAGCTCAGCAAGAGCAGCGACTAGTCCTGGAGGCCCTGTACCAGGCACTCTCATTGGTTCAGTCCTCATGAACACTCTGTAAATTAGGTGCAATTATCATCCCTCCGTTCACAGACCAGGAAACTGAGCCCCTGAGGGGCTTGCCCGAGGGTTAACAGAAGCAGAAGTCGACTGTAAAGACTCTCCGAGGTGTGAACTATGCTCTGAGTCACTCTCAGGAACGCTCCTGTCAAGAAGAAAGCCCTTCAAACACCACTTGCTGCCCTGCTGTGACACCCTTGGAGGCCTGAAAACCGCCGGTACCTCAGGGGTTGGGTGGGGTGGTTGCACGGAACCCCCATCCCTCACAGAAGAACTCCTATCTCCCCATCCTCACAAAATTTAGCCTCACAAAGCATTTCCCCAAAGCACAGATTAGGTGATTAATAAATACTTGCTGCTTGGCTGAAGTCCTGCCTTCCAGGAACCAGGTTTCTAAATGCAAAGCCACAACTGCCAGGGCACAGAACATGGACATGGAGCAGGGCAGCATGAGCCACGGGGTGGGGGACAGACATGAGAGCCAGAGAGTGGGGCTCCAGCCCAGTCCTGAGCTGTGCGACTCTAAGCCTCCCTTCTCACATCCAGAGAATGGAGATACACTAGCTGGTAGCTCACAGAGTGCTGATGCACGGTACAAGAGGTGATGCATACTTAGCACTGTGCCTTGTGCCCACAGAGGGCTTGCTAATGCCATTGTCAGCAGGGAGGGTCTTCTTTGGGACATACAAAATCCAGAAACCCCTGCTGAGTCATGTCCCCATTTCCTTCCACAGGGTAAATCAGGCTGCCACGTACCCCATAGGCAAGTCTGTGGCTGGGTCAGGGGGCAGGAGGAGTGGGGAGAGGAAGCCATCCTACATGGAGGTGGGGGTTTAGGAATGTCTGGAGACCCACAACCTTACTGTCTCATCTCTGACCCTCAACTCCCCACCTCAGACTCCAGATCAGCTCCTGGTCTCCTCAGCATGGTAGGTACTCCATAAATGTTTAGTGAATGAATGAATGAATGAATGAATGATGTCCTACATTGGCTGTTGAGCAAGAAGAAAGATAAAATCAATTTTATTCCTATCTTATTACATATGGGAGTTGACATTGGCATGGGTTGGATGGACCTGTGTTTGAACCCTCGCCTCTGTCACTTTCTGGTTTGTGACTTTGGGCCACATTCACAACCTCTTGAGACCTCATTTTCTCCATCTGTAAAAGAGATGGTAATGATAGTAAAAGTTCTTAATAGGGTCGTTCTTAGGATTCAGTGTAAAGTGCTCAGCCCTGGCATACAGTAGGCGTTCAGTAAGTAGGAATTCTCTTTGGTACTGTTGCTGGACATGTGCTAGCACAGCCATACACTGAGTCATGAGACCCGTGCCCAAGGCCCAGCTCTGTCACTGGCTCAGTGTGACTATGGCGGGTCTCTACCCTTCTGGGCCCAGTTTCCTTCTCTGTATAATGAGGGCTCTCCAAGGCACCTTCTGAGTCTGATATTCTGGGGCAGCCTGGCACATTGGCCGGAAGGTCTCTGGGGAACAGCTCTGTCCCTTGGCTTGGAGAAGGAAAGTACATTCCCATGCAGGGAGGAAGGTGGGCATCACTGCAACTTGTCCTGTTCCCCCTTCCACACATCTCAGAACAGAACCAGCCACCCCCCCCCGCCCCAGACACTGCCCCCTGCCCTGCCCCTAATGCAGAGGTTGTCCTCGTACCACATGGGCTCTGGGCCTCGGGGGTCCCAGGATGGTGCAAGGAGGAGAGATCTGGGTCTGGAACACAGGACCAAAGTTAGCTGGGGCCCATCTCTTAGCCTCTCTAAACCTCAGTTTTTCTCGCCTGCCAAGCAGGGAGGTGAATAACAACCACCACCCGAGTTTTGCCAGCCCCAAGGGCTCTGGCGCGCATAAGAGGCAACCCAGATGTGGAAGCCCTTTGTGAATTGCTACCATCGGGCATAATCATAATAATTATTATCTGTAAAACAAGGGGGTTGGACCAGCTGATCCCATGGGCTCCTCTCCAGCTCTGATGCTGAGGATTTCTCGGTTTCCAAGCTGGGAATTTATGCAGACACAGGCCAGGAGAAGCCAGGGAGACACAGGCCAGGAGAAGCCAGGGTCTGTGGGCTTCTGCATACCCTGGAACCTCTGCAAAAGAATCTCCCCATTCATCCTCTTCTCCCAAGCCAGCCTGGGCGCTGAGGGAAGGCCACAGGGAAGGGGAGGAGGAGGTTCAGGGCCATGTCCTCAAAGTGTGGGGACAGCCCCAGAGTGTGAACCCCCTCTCCACCCCTGCCCAGAACTGCTGTCATTCCCTAAGGGCTCAGCCTCTTCCTCCTTACTGCACCCCTCCCCTAACTCCATCTAATTCTGCATGCAGTAGGCCAAAGTGGTGAAAAGTGGAGTTAGCCGGTAATTCAAATAGCTCCAGCCATGCACCAGCTGGTGACCTTGGGCAGGCCATTTAGCCTCTCTGAACCTCGATAGGTCTAATAACAGTTGTTCTGGGGATTCAATGAGATCCACGAGAAGGGCCTCGCATAGAGGCCCACATACTCAAGTACTCAATTAATGCCCCCCGGACCTGTGTTCTATCACTCAGCCTCTATTCTGCTTCTCCTTTGCCAGAACCCTCCAGGTGGTTGTTATGTTATCCCTGAGCTAGCCAGCTAGTTCCCAACAATGGGACATGGGTGTAGGGACAGGAGACAGGTCCCAGGTTTCTCTTGCCCATCAGAGGACCAGAAAAGGTCATACTGCTCCAGCCGGGGAAGTCTGGGGGCCTGCCTGGTGAGGGGGACGGGAAGGCTCTGCCACAAGTGTCTGTCCAGTCCTGTTTCTGGGGGCTTGAGGTCCTGGGGAAGGGACATGTATGTACCTAGAGACGCTCCAGTATCTCAGGTGGAAGCAGGTGGTGAATGGGACAAGGCTGGAGCCCACATACACAGAGATTTCAGCCCTGGTATCCACAGCCTGCTGCCAGGGCTGGCGGGAGGGCTTGTGGCAGTCTGCCAGGGGTGGATGGACTCTCTCTGGACCTCGAAGAGGCAGAAGGATGGGAAGCTTTCCACTACCAGTGGGCCTCGTCCTGGCAGTCCCCTGCAGGGAGATGACACACCCTATTTTGGGGGAATCAAGGCCCAGCAGTTCTGGCACTGAGCATGCAAGTAGCAGAAAAGTTCCCAAGGTCACCTCCCATCAGCCACCTCCACCCCACCCCGAAAGCCCCGACTTAGAGGAGCGGGACCTTGGAGAAGGCTGTCCTCCGAGCTGGGGTTCAAGGTATCTTTCCCTCACAGACTTGGGGCCAAGAACTCAAGAGCAGGGCAGAGGGCTGAACCCACAGGTCCCACCCTTCCACTTCCCACAACAGCCTAGCAGGCGTGTGGCCCCTGTGGCCTTGAGCAGGTCACAGCCTTTCCGGCCAGTGACCGGAAAATTCAGGAATCCATCCTCGTCCGCTGTCTACCCCAAATCTTAGCAGCCCCAAATTCTCAGCAGAGCCTGGGGAACAAGTAGTTACAAGAAACAGCATGATTCCCCCAGAGACACAACACACCTGAGCCACATATAGTACCGTCACCAGCTAAGTCTGATCAGACCCACACTACGAAGGCAGAAACTGCATCCACCCATTCCACGGATGGAAAGAGAGGCTTGAAGAGCCCAGTGACCTGCATGAGGTCACCTAACTAGTGGGGTGGCGTGAGAAGGGGGAAACAGGTCTCCTGATTTCCAGCACAGATGGCAGTCCCCTAGTTCCCTGAGCAGCCGGTGCCTCAGTCCTCTCGCCTGTCCTGCGAATAGAAGATGCTCCTTTGCACACATGAGGAAAAGGAGACTCAGGGAAACAGGCAAAGGAGCCTTTCTTCCACGGTGGGGCAGGGCCAAGAACCGTGCCAGGTTAGCTCCTCCTTCTGCACAGGTGAGCGGGTCCCCAAGGCCTGCCCACAGAGGCTTCAGCTGGTCCCTCTGATGGTCTCCCCACTGGCTTTCAGGGAAAGGCAAACTCCTCAGTTTGGCATTCGAGGCCATCCAGGAGAGGACTCCAGCTGGTCCCTACACACACCTTGCACCAAAGCCAAGCCAGTGTCGAAATGCCCGCCTCTCACGCTGTCGCCAGCCACGCCACAAGGAGCACCCTCACTCCCCATCACCGTGCAGTTCATAATCCCATGAAGAGCCCCCATTACCCCTGACTGTCTGCCGTGTGCCAGGCACTGGCCTCGCCGAGGAGGAAACCACCCATCTCCTGTGATCGCAATGCCAACTGCCTTGGGAATGTGAAGTTATGGGGAAGAAAATCGCCATGACCTCAAAACATTGAAGAAAAAGGCTTATTTTTTTTTCTTTCGCGATAATAAAGCATTTGAAGTTTCTCAAATAGATTTTTCTTCATGTTTTTCTGCTGTTTGTTTTTCCTTCTATGCATTCCTATCTCTGAGTGCAGCTCTGTGTTTTGCAAAGCAGCCCCCGGCCATCATGTCTGATCTGCACAGACCGCACTCCCAGGTCGGCAGGCGAACGAGGCCGCATCATGCCTGTTCGATGGAGAAGGAGAAGAGTAAGTGGCTTCTCCGAAGTCATATCTCGGAGACTGGACTTGGATCCCTGACGACTCCCAGCCCATCTCCTTCTGGTCTCTGACAAATCCCCACCACAAGCTGCCTGCTGCCTTGGGTACTTGCCTCCGTGAGCCTCCCAAACCTTTGAAACACCCCCATCAGGCAAATAAAGTAGGGGATCCGCACTTTACAGATCAAGAAACGGAGGCTCAAAGATGATAGAATCATCTGCCCTAAATCGTACAGCTATTTCAGTGGCGAAGTCAAAATCTGAACTCAGGTCTTCTGCTTCCAAAAGGCTGCCCAGGGAGGGTGGCTCGTGTCGGTAGAGGTATGGACTAGGGGGTTGGGCACGTCACTTCACCTCCATGAGCCTCATTCCCTGCCCTGAGATGTGGCCCCAGTAACATCACACTGGGCCGTGGAAGGGACCAAATGATGCCACGCCCGGCTCATCCCTGTTGTCCCTGATGCCTGTCACAGTACAGAGACACACAATATGCTCAACAAATGCTTACCGAGTGTGCCACCAAGGTCCCTGCCATTGTACCAGCACACAGCATGAGCATCATAGGGACCCCTCTGTTTTGGGGAGTCTCTCCACTAGCACCCCTCTGCTTCTCCCTTCCTCCTCTCTGAGTCACTGCCTGTAAGTGCTAGTCTTCAGTCCTAAAAATAGAGCACATTTGGGGGCATAGAAATACCTGCAGATGTTACACTGCTTCAGCGCCCCCTGCCCTCAAGTCCCCCCTCTGATGACCCCAGGGTGGCCATTCCACGAAGTCCCAGGACTGATGGTCCCTGCTTCACCTAGTGTGGACTTAGGGTTCTCAATCTGCTGGACATCCTTAGCCAGGAACCACCCTCCTTGCCCCATGATGTGCAGCAGAGCCAAACTTCCTTTCCTCATTGGCACAAGGGCTGCCACCTTACACCTCGCACTTGCTGGCCAGGCTGAGCTGCCTCCCAGAGCTGGAGATGGGCCCAGAGAAGGGAAATGATTTGCCTGGATTGCACAGCCAGGCCTGGACTCAGAACCAGCACTCTGGCAAGCCTAGGATGAATGCCCAAATGAGAATGGCAAAGCCCAGAGCCTCTCGATGCCCCGCTCTAGCATCTGTCAGCCCTGGAGACTTTATCAGAGCCCACAGAAGCACCCCTCAGAAGCTGTTTCCCCAGCCTCACAGGGGGTACAGCCAGTACCACCAGGGTCCCAGGGCACAGCCCGGCGGAGGATCTCAGAGATTTCCCTCCTTTCACACCAGCTGGCTCCCAGCCTTGCTGGGAGGGCAAAGCAGAAACCAGGACTTGGTGAGGCCTCCTGGCAAAGTGGCAAAGGAAAGGGAACCCCGGGCTGCTTGGGGCTGGGGGGTGTCCTGTGTGGGGAGGGGCCGGTGGAGCAGCACCTCCAGAGACCAGGGGGCAGCAGAGTGCAGAAGCTCCTGTGGCAGCCCCGCAGGTGGTGGGAGGAAGATGGGAGAGGAGGGTACCGGGAGGGGGGTAATACCAGGCACTTTCCCAGGAGTCTCAGGGTCCATCGAGCTGGGTTCACGTGAAGGAGAACAAGGTGAGGCTTTGCTGGGGGAGGTCAGAGGGGCCTGTGCCACCTCCTCCCAGGGTGAGGAGGAGTTCACGTCCCACGCGCAGGAAGCTGATGTAATGCACACGTGTGTGCACTTGTGGTGGCCTGGGTGTGGGTGGGTACAGGTGCATATCTGCCAGGTTAATTTTTAAAAAGGGCGTGGGGCTTTCTTGTGCTCTTTCCTGCATGTGGAGGGGTCACGCGTGTGCCCTTTCCTATGTGTGTAGGGGTCACGCGTGTGCCCAGGAACTAGGCTCTTCGTGTAGACCACGACCCCCACCTCTGTGCATCCCCGTACTGGGTGGTGTGCGCCTCATAGTCTGTAGCGGGGGTCTCGGCCTGCACGTGCCTGTGTGTGCCTGTGTGTGAGGCTCAGGGTTTTTGTGAGTCGAGCGGTGTTTTCGTCTGTGTCTGGCTGTGCACAGGTCTCAGCTGCTCTTGCAGCATGTGTGGCTGGCTGCTCGCAGCCTCTGACAGCCAGGACAAAAGCCTCTCTAGACAGACAGGTGGTGTGGAAGACAGACCTGCCTCAGGAGTCCTCAAAGGGCCTCTGAGCTCTGGAACGTGGCAGCCAGGCAAGGGGTGCGGCCGGCGGAGAGGGAGCTAAGGCAGGGGCTTCGGGCTCCCTTACTCCAGGCCTGGGCGGAGGCTGCGGGGTCCTGAGGCCTGAGCAGTAAAGATCTCCGAGCCAAGAAGGAGACACTGCATTTCAGGAGGCCAAAGGAAGAATCCCTCTTGTCTCAGCGTCATGGCAGGTGGAGGGTGCATAGAGCCAGGAGAGGGGTCTCCCGCACCCAGGGAAGAGGAGCGACCTTTGCCCAAAGAAAGCTGAGTCCCAGGGTGGGAACTACCATCCTGGCTGTGGGAAGGGGCAGCAAAGCAAGCACGGGGCTCTGGGAGAGGAGGAAGGAAGGTCTGAGCTCTGGACCCTGAAGAGAGGTGGAGGGGTTCTCCTTAACCTGAGTCACCTTCCCCACCTCCACCCAGAGGCACCCTCACCTCCTCAAGCAGCTCAGGGAGTGGGTCACCTGTAGACCGCTCCACTTGTCACAGACCCCCCTCCCCACCCCACAAAGATCTACCTAGATCAGGGGTCCGAGAAGGGATGTTAGCCCCAGCAGAGGGCGACGCGGTGACCTTGGGCAGTCCGCGTAGCCCCTCTAAGCGTCAGTTTCCCCATCTGTGCAATGGAGAGCTCAGTGCGCGTGCACGTGCCCACGCACCCCACCTGAAATACTGCTGTGCGTGGGGAAGGTGCTCATGCCACCTGGGGATTAGTCCTTACCTAGATCCCTTTCTGAGGCTGTTCAGGCGCCCCTCCACTCCCCCGGACCCTCCACATGCAAGAGAGGAGCTCAGAGGGCGGCTGAGGCCCTGGATGGAGAAATGGGGGGACCTCTGTGGCCAGCTGGGCAGGACCACCCCCACTCCCACGCAGCAGCTGCCCCCTCCCCATTCAAGGGCAACTTTGGCTGGGGTTTCCTCCCTCTACTAGAGAACAGACCCTCCTCCCCACCCCACCGCACAGACACACAGGAGGGAGACACCAGTGCCCCCAGCAGGGTGGGCTAAGGGCCCCGGGCCCCAGCTCCCTTTTGGAAGAAAACAACACGTCCCGCTTCATTTCCCCTTTCTCTCCAGCTCTGCCCTGACCCAGCTCCTCAGTGGCCCTCCCTGGTGGCCCCTGACTACCAGAGGGAGGGAATGACGCTCCAGGACAGATGCCAAGGCGCTGGGTGTGAGGGCTGGGGTGTCCTTCCTGACTCCACCCTCAGGCCTGTGTTGTGACCCCAACAAGGACTTGGGGGTCACGCACAGGCTGGGGGGGCCTAACCACGGAGGGGGGACGGCGCGGGCCTCCAAGGCTGGTGTGCGCGCGCGCGCGCGTGTGTGTGTGTGTGTGTGTGTGTGTGCACGCGCAGGACCCCAAGGCTGGCGGCAGGGCGTGTGCGGGGCGCGGGGACCGCCCTGTGGACTCCCCCGGGGCTCAGACCCCGCGGAGCCAGGAGGGAGGGAGGCGGCGGGGGGCGCCCGGCTGGCTGCGTGACGCGAGAGCCCCGCTCCGCCGCGGGTGGGGGCCGCGCTCCGTCCCCGGGGAAGCGAGGACGTCGCCGCCTCTCGGCCGGGGCCGCTGCCGCCGAGGACCCCCGCGTCGTCCTCCGAGGCCCGGAGCGCCCGGGGCGGGGGGGGGTCCCTGCCCGGGGACGGGGACGCGCCCACCTCTCCGCGCCCGAGGCGCCCCCTCCCCGGGCCTGCGCGCAGGGGGAAGCACCCGCGCCCCCCAGCCCCGGCCCCGAGCGAGCCCCCGGGGAAGGGGGTGCTCAGGGCTCGGCCCAGGCCTGCCCCCGCCCCCCCGCCCCCCCGCCCCCCGCAGCCCCCGGGCGGGGCGGACTCACCGCGGGCCTGCGCCGGGCGTCCTGGCTCCGCGCTCCGGTGCCCGCGGCCGCCGCTGCAGCTCTGCTCGGACGCCGCTCCCGTTCGCCGCCGCCGCCGCCGCCGCAGTTGGGGGGGGCTCACGTGACCGCGGAGCGCTCCTTCCCGGCGCCGCTCCCCCCGTCACTGCGGAGCCCGGGCCGCGGGCGAGCGGGCGGGAGCGGCGGAGGCCCCCGCCCTGCCGGCCCCCGCGCGCCCGCCCGTGCCCCCATTTCACAGGTGGGGAAACTGAGGACCAGAGCGCGCCAGGACGCGCCCCGGGCGAGGACGCAGCGGTCCGGCTAACAGCCTGCGCCCCAAGGGGAGGGGGACAGCTTCTGGGGCAACGGGGGGAGCGGGGCGACACGAAAGGTGGGGGACACGCCCCGGGCCCCCAGGGGCTCCGCGGGCCCGCAGGGGCGGCGAGGAAGGGAAAGGCCCGAGCCCCGACTGCGCGCCCCCCCGCGCTGGGGAGCTTGCGGGAGTCCTCGCAGGAGCAGGAGCCGCGTCGTGACCACCACCCCCCCGCCCCCGGCGGTCAGCGCCTCTGGACGTGCGGCCCGGGCTGCGGGCTGCGGGGCTGGCTCCGCACTCCCAGCCTAGCCTGGAACGGGGGCGGGGGCGGGGGTGGAGGGACAGCGGCGGGAAGCAGGAGGGTCAGGGCAAGAGTTGAAAACCCAGGCCGGAGCCACGGGGATCCCTCCAGCCGGCCTGCTGAGGCCCA